GTTCTTATTCCATTTATTAGCCTAGAATTACTATGTTATGCGCACAACACACAAGTATAGACTAAATCGCCTAATTTGGAAATAAGCATTGCAAATCCGTTTGTCTTGAAAAACATTTTGGAATTTGCTACTCGCAAGTAGGCTAAAACACGGATTTCAACGAGTTTTTCCAACTCAGGCAATCCAACCTTCACCCACAGGCATTCAAACAGTTTATCACATAAGCATCTAGCCGCATGGTAATCATACCGTCATGATAGCATTCACACGCATGCGATATGCTAAAGCACAAAAATACTTACGTCGTACTTCGTGCCAAAACAGTAAACTAGTTAGCCAACATGCATGGTCCTAGTTCATGTCAAATTGCCTAATGTAACACATACAGGATGCAATTTGGAATAGGCTCGGCTAACCTAAGCATGGCATGTGAAGTGCAACTAATTGATGCACGTATTCAATTTGGAATTGAAGTACAAATGCAGTTAGCATGATGTACCGAGCCCGGTGCATGCAATACAAATGCATGAATATAAAATTATATCTCCAGAGAAATTCTCTGCCCTCCATGCCTCTTCTAGACTCAATACTCCAGAGAAATTTGATTTCACAGGCCTTCCCATAAAATTAACTCTCTAGAGAAATTTGAAATTTCTTTGGCCTCCCTAGCCTTTCATAATAGCTAAGCCAGAACAAAAACAATGTTCAGATACACTTTTCAAGTAGTTTCAGTGGACTGTAATGAAAGGCCCAAAAATGTACCAATGAAATAAACAAGCATATGGCTCAAGAGCAGGTAGCCTTGCTACAAAGTGCTCATCCATAGCTGTTGTTGGAGGATGAAGCAGAAGTCAGGGACAACAGCTGCAGTTAAAGTAGCAGTCTCATAGCAAGCAACTTCCTCATCGCAAACACTTAATATAGATGAACTTCCAGTTCTCTCCACCAACTCTTTCTCTCTCGTTGGATACACATCGATATTGATTTCGGCGAACTTGATATACATGTATACATAGATATATGGCATAGATTTGCGAATTTGATCTGTGCGAATCAACATTTTCTAGAGAGAGAGAGAGAGAGGGATTTGAAAATTGAAAGAGATTGATGGTGGTGTACAAAGCTGACGATGACTACGAGTACCTGTTCAAGGTGGTTCTGATCGGGGGCTCTGGTGTGGGCAAATCGAATCTCCTCTCGAGGTTCACCAAGAACGAGTTCAGTCTCGAATCCAAATCCACAATCGGCGTTGAATTCGCTACACGTAGTATTCGCGTCGATGACAAGATCGTCAAGGCCCAGATTTGGGACACCGCTGGTCAAGAAAGGTTTCTTTTCCAATTCTCACTTTGAATCATCTCTCTGCTTTTTTCATTTACTGAATTTTGCCCAGTTTCTGTTTAGTTTTGATTGGTTTCCGGCAAGGACTGTAACCGTTGCACAGGAGGACAGTCGTCGCCGTCGTCGCCGTTCGATTATCATTTTCTGAAGAAGAGGTGAGGCGTGAGTCTGAGAGAGAGA